GCGTATTAAAAAATGTTTGTCCTGAATATTTAACAAATATTTATATTCTAAATTTGTTTACAGTAAGTAACGATATTACTGTCTATCAATTGATGTTCGACGCTGTACATGTATACTATACTTTCGATTTTGAAGATGCAGTGATTTGGGGCTACACCTCTTTCTACGTTTGGAACATAAATTAGCCTTTAGGTTACGCTTGCTCTGTAGAATTTCTTTAACGATATTGCTTAAACTTAAATCTGGAATCTGGAAGCAAATTTTCGAATAGTGCTCGTGTCTTTTTAAAAGTCAATACTTTTTGTAACAAGCTAAAACAATTGTGCATCGCCCCTGATGAATAAAATGTACAATTTCTCTAATCAATCTACTGTGATAAAAGTGTTGTCTATTTTTTATTGTATAGTCTAAATTATAATTTGAGCTATACTTATATAAATTTAAATTAGTTTTAGGAGATTTTAATAACTGATATTAATTAATGTTCAATTAATTAATTAAATCAAGTTTAATACGTTGTTCAGTTGTAATTTTATGTCAATCGTTGTTCGATTAAAATTTTAATAAGAATTTCTTACAGTGTACAGTAATGCGAACTGATGCATGCGTGGATCTGTATTTGGACTTTTACACTACGAAGAAGTTATGGATATATTTTAACAGGGATGGCTTCATACATAGTCTATTAATATGTACTGTAAATAGTATATTAAGCAACAAGGGGACTCGTGACATAAAAGTCATCTTAAACAAATCGGGCTGCATTTGTTCCCGTGTCACTTACGATACTATTTATTCCTTATGCATACGGTTGAACAAATAAATAACTGTACTCCCTGTCTCAGCTATCTGCGCCATTTTAGTACATGTGGAATTAAAAAAAACTTTTAAAAATTTGTTTTTAAAAATGATTTAACAATGTTTCACTTAAAAGTAAAGTGAACTAAGATTTGGTTACTTTCTAGGAAAGAAGGCTTCATATATAGTCTACTTTACTATAAAAGTTTCTTTTATGGTGTACTTAAATCGTTATCCAAACAGCGCCTTTTCGCTGATTCTAAAGAGAGTACCCAGATAGCACTTGACGCAACAGTAATTTTATGGTAAGGTTACCGTGTATCGTTACCAACGTTACAGTGTAAGGTTACTGTAGGGTTACCGTAAGGTTAAAATGGCCCAATTTTCCTAAGGTTACATTGTAAGATACGTTACTAGTTTCGAACTATATATAGTTCCTCATCAGGAGATGAATAATTTTACAAATATATTATTATCCAAGCGTCGGACATAAAATAATAGCTTCTTATCTTTTAAAAGAACATTATAAATATGAAATAATTTTTTTAAATTTTTTATTATTAAAGAAACTCTAAGTTTCTCATGATTAAATTTTAATTAAATTAATTTTAAAGATTTTGTAGAAGCACATTTTTTGTTGGAAATGTGCTTCTATAATTAGAGAGTTTTGACAGAAGGTTAGGTTGTGTAGTAGGGTGCAGGTATAGTTGATAAAGTAGATATCTATGTTTTTAGACTTATTTAAATTATGTTTTAAAAGATGTAATTAAATTAGGGGAGGATGGGGCAAGGATAGTTAGGTAAGACCTTTTCGGATCTAGCGGCCAAACTTGATTATGTATTTGCAAATGAAAAGTATTTTTGGAAAGCCTGGTTATTTGGCTATAATTTTGCTGTACATTATTTTACTGTAGACTCAAATCCCTACGAGATACGAATGAAAAAGTAAACAAAAATTTTTAACTATCCTTGCCCCAGTACCGGGGCAAGGATAGTTAAAAGAATTCGAATGCCAAAAATGTTATAGAAAATCAGTAAATTTTTGTTTTTTTTATTTTACTGGATTTAGACTATTCAATATTGATATCCCAAGTATTAAAAATATGTATGGAACATTTTCTGAATTGCAATTATTATATTAAAATTCATCTGAACTAGAATCAGAAGTTTAACCAATTTTTTTCAGACGACCACCTATTTCTTGGTCATAAGCTTCGTTTTCCGTATATAATTACGCAAAATTATGTATATCAACCTAAAAAGAACAATTAAACAGTTTTTTAAAATTTTCAATGGTATTAACACGCTTTTACCGTGCCGTATTATCTCTAACTATCCTTGCCCCATGAGCCCATATTTCAGTTTATTCCAAATTTTAAGGAACGACGTGAATTAATTTGAAAATAAATACGATATTCGTGTTCAGCAGGAAATTCCACTCCGGAAAACATTTTACGTAAAAAATATTCTGAAATTCTAATGTAGAAAACAATATGATAAACATTACGTTGACATTTTAGCAAAACAGACTTTTTTCAAAAATAATCTCCCAACTTCGCAAATGGTGACAGATTGACTTGCAATTTTTACAATCACCTTTTGGTGTTAAAACGCGAATATACTATGAATTACGCGATTTTTGAGCAAGCCGTCTAAGCATAACAGCAACTAACTATCCTTGCCCCTTAACTATCCTTGCCCCATCCTCCCCTATAGAATTATTAATACTATTAGTGTTATTTTTAATATAGATCATTTCTAAATTTTTTCCTTTAAAGTTATTTATTTCAATTTGTAAGATATTAGTATTGTCAAAATCATATATTATAGTTTAAAGATGTTTAGACTTTTTTGGATTGTTCTAATATAGTAAAAGATGTTTATTTGTTTTTTTTAAATTCAATCCACATTTATTCAAACAATTCTTTTTTGTCATATGTGAAGCTTTTCGTCCATCGACGATGGACCTCTTCAGACAATATATGGAAACTGCAAATTATTTTTATTTTTTAAACATAAGTTAACGAACGGTTCATAAAAGTAGAAAAACAACATTGTTATTATATTCCATTATAGTAACATTATGTACATAACCTCAACTTACCAATGTGGATAACTTTCCTCACACATAAAGTTTTAATAAAATTTAACAAAACAGTCTTCATATAAAAAATCCGTTTTTTGCAACCAAAACGTTGAGATTCTTGAAAAGGTCATATTGGCGGGTATTTTATCCCTTTAAGGTTCTGAACAGGGATCAACACGTGCCTTGATATGACAGATATGTATATCGGTTAGTTAGTAGAGGACAGAAGAATCTGAATGTGATACATTTAAAAGGTTCAGTTGATAACTATATTCATAAAAGGTAAAAAAGAAACCCACTATATCAATCAGATTTAAAATGAAAATATAACTTTATTTAAAAGATTAAAATTTGATGAAGTAAAATGAAAAAAATGAAAATTAATCAATTCAAAAAAGGAAAAGAAGGAAACAAACTAATAACTTCGTATGTTGTTATACATAAAGATTTTATGAATTAGATAATTAGTATTCATGATAAGTGTGTGGTATAATCTAATTTAATATCATATATTATATATCATTTATCAATACGGTAAAAAAAATTTTTTTAAAATTAATTATAATATATTAAAATATAATTATATTATTTAATAACTTAATTATTTAATATTTATTTTGCATTTAGTATAAAACAATATAAAATTATTTCTATTACATTAATTATTAAAATAATTCTTAATTTCTCCAAAGAATTGGAGTTGTGTATTATTATCCGTGATTAATGGATAATAATAAAAATTGTTAACGTCGTAATAGACGTTAACTATTAACATTATCGGTCAAGATAATGTTGTGAAGGATCTGTTCACGAGACGGATACTTATACTCTCCGTGATACTAATCATACACAAGAAATGTAGTTCGAGCCATATGTCGAAGAGTCACAAAACTAATAGAGGATTCTCTTATAATTCCCAAAATTTGTGACAGATGGCTCGAACTACATTTCTCGTGCATGATTAGTATTACGCAGGGTATAAGTATCCGTCTCTTGAACAGATCCTTCACAATATTATCTTGACCGATAATGTTAATAGTTAACGTCTATTACGACGTTAACAATTTTTATTGTTATCCATTGATCATGGATAATAATAATACACAAATCAAATTCTTTGGAGAAATTAAGAATTATTTTAATAATGTAATATAATAGTTATAATTGTATATTGTTTTATACTAAATGAAAAATAAATATTAAACAATTAATTTATTAAACAATATAATTATATTTGAATATATTATAATAAAATATATTTAAAAGTAAATAAATTATTTGGAACTATAAAAAACAAAATTTTGTAAACTTACATTGAAATGTTATGGTATCCTTACAATGTAACCTTAGGAAAAGTGGGACATTTTAACTTTACGGTAACCCTACAGTAACCTTACACTGTAAAGTTGATAACATTACACGCAACCTTACTATAAGATTACTGTAACGTCATATGCTATCTGGATAGGGGAAAAAGTTTTGTGAACTTAATTTCTTAATTCAATATTCTCTTTTCATTTAGAATATAAAATTTAATTGTTTTAAAAAGTATTAAATAGTTTTAATATAAGACAGCAACTATTCGATAATATTAATATAAACATAAATCCAAAACACTAAAAAAACAAATATGTTAGATTAAAAGATTTTGAATTACGAAAAGTTAACAACTATTTAAAAAGAAAAATATCCCATTGAATATGCAAAATTTACTGACAGATTGTAGTCAAATATTTGTTATTTATAAAATGATAAAAAATTTAAATTAACAAAACAATGTAAAAATTAACAAAACTTTATTCTAAAAACAGAAGCAGAAAATAGTATATTATGCATCTAGAGAGAAAAATGGTTTATTTCTACATATGTTCAAGTTCATGTTCTACATGAGTTCAAGGTATATAACTGATTCAAATATAAAGAGTATTAATAATAATATTACCGTGTAATGTCACTGTAACATTACTTGGGATGGATGTTTCAATATTGTTGTAATGTTACTGTAATCTTATGTGATTATGTACATAGGTAGCGAGTGCCAAAACCAAAGTCTTGCGAGCAGGTGTATAATATATGCAAAAAAACAAATTTTTAATTCATAATTTAATCATCTTACGTGAAAAATATGTGTAATAATTGAGATAGAACACCGGAATATTTATTAAAATTTGTTCCAGCTGATTCGCAAATTGCTCTTAATAGACACACCTTTCCTGATTGAAATGCACTTTGAATAAATCTATAAATTTCATATCGTGTCATTGATGGCTGATTGCGGCCTGAAGAAAATAAATTATTTAATTTATATATACATACAAAAATTGAATAAAAAGTTTAAGGGTCACTTTCACCAACTCCGATTAAAAGTTAATCAATGATTAAATCCTTAACTGACCAATCATGGGCGGTTAAAACGACTTTAATCGTTGATTGACTTTTAATCGGAGTTGGTGAAACTGGCCCTAAAGAAAGTATTAAGAAAAGGTTCGTTAAAATGTCCATGATCATTTTTTTAGACATAAAGTATGTGGAAGTATCTATGGTTAAAACAACAACATACATAAATTCTAGCGATATTAGTATCAGTCACAATTAAGTTTTTCCTAGCAATATTCTTTTTAAGAAAGCCATTACTTCTAAATTTATTCAACTTGTTGAAAACTATTTTTTGTAAAGGAATTAAGGGGATCGTACACCACTTTTCAACATTTATTTTTTCATAGTAAAATGTATCGAAACACTGGGCTCTTTTCACACATATTAACACACATATTGAGGATTAAGAAAAAAATATTTTTTTATTTATTCTGCCCTTCCTGGCGACAAAATGGCGGCTGAAGTGATTCTCCGGAAAAAACTGGTTGACGCGATATCTCTGCTTCAAAATGTCGGAACCAAAAAATCCAAAGAATTTCTTAAAATATATGTCAGTGGCTATGGCCTGAACCAAAAAAAATGAATTTGAAAAAAATAAGAAAGTAGCGGCGGTTTGAATTTTTTTACCCCTTTTTCACCCCTAAAACGGTAAAAAATGGGGTTAAAAATGGATGTACCGTTCTCAATGGTGAAAAAGGCATGAAGGTGGGAAATGTTTTTTCATATACGGAAATATTTTTCGAATATCTTTCATGTTTGAACGTCATGGAAATATGACTTAGAATATGCTTATATTACTCGTCAACTGATTTAAATGTTTTTAAGTGGAACATGGTGGTGTGTATAAAATGCATATTAGTTTAAAGGACAAATCGTCGGTTGGGTGCAGAAAGGTGCCAATTCAGACTAGTCGTGAAAAACGTGCGGTTTCAAAAAACACGTGAGAAACCTGCCACTTCAGCTGCGATTTGGAAAACATGCCAACTCAGAATTAGCACCTTTCTGCACCCAACCGACGAAATGTGCTAATATTACTAGTCTACTGATTTTATTGTTTTTAAGTGGAAGAAGTAAAAACTAAATGTAGGATTGGCTAGCAGTAATTTGCCAAATACAATTATTCTGACGTTAAATACTGAAAAGCAATTAGAAAATGTGACAACTGCTATTTTCGAAATGAAGAAAATGTCGAGGTAATTCTGGAGTGCAATATTAGAATTACACCAAAAGTTCAGTAAGATAAACTGCATGAAATATTTTTACGGACTTCGGGTAAAAAAATATTAAAAATTTATTGTTAAATAAATAAATTTAAAAAATTAATTTTTTATTTTTAAATAAAATCATATTAAAATTAAATACTTTGCATACAATTTTCATATTGAAAATTTTATTGTAACTATCATAGATAACGAAATAAAAATTGCTGAAAAAAGTGACTTAAATGTTTAAACAACGAAATGGCAAATTATGAAGGAAATCTGTGATTCTAAGTTTGCCCTGTGTATAGAACGCCCCATATGAGCGATTCTATGTCAAGTGATCCAAGGTAAAAAAAAATTTTCTCCAATCGTTCCTAAACTTGAGGCTTTTGTAGATAGTAATTTTTTGTGAAAATATATTTTCACTTAGTCCAATATTTTTTACTAAAAGGATATATAGGTGAAGAAGTGAGCCTAGAATGTATAAACACTGAAAAAAAAGTTTTCTACTGACCGGAGCGTAGCCTACGATTCTAAAAATCCTAAGTTTCGAAAATTCAGGCGGTGTTTGCATGCTTGCGTTCGAACGCAAGCATGCAAACACAGCCTCATAACTCGAAAATTTGGGCAAATCTACAAAAGTAAAACCTATTTAATATTTTTTTATAAGGAACGAGAAAAAAATGTTTAACCGATTTTAAAATATCATATGGAAATTTCACGCGGAATTGACCACCTATTTTTTTTCTCGCGATATAATAATATTGTAAATTATGAAAAAACATACCTTTTTCATTAAAAGAAGAAGAATTTTTTAATATTTTTTCACCATATTTGATCGATCTGCTATACCGAATATATGGATTCATCAAGTACGAAGCGTTGAAAGGCAAAACGTAATTACACTTCATCACATAGCCGATAATCGTACTGACATCAACTTCCATTGGTAAACCCAGACCAAAAATCAACTGAAATAGCAATAAAAATTTAGATAAAAAGAAGAACAAAGTTGTACAAAATCGTTTTTTTAATATTTTAAATTTCTAACGCATGTATTTATGAGAATGTTTGCGCAAGAAGCACGTAATATAACTGAATTTGAAAACTGAAGTATGTAAGTACAATTTTTGTAATGTTAAATTTTATTAATACAATTCAATATTATCATGATCACTCATTCGTCTTCAATCGTATTAACTGGTTCCGCAATATACTTTACAATATCTCTATTTTTCTTCTTCTTAAATGACTTGAAGCTAGGCCAACTGTCAGAACACACACTCTTATATACCAACTAGTTTTGCGTTTCTACAAAACGACTTTTGAGGTTAGGAGTACTCGCATTTGCCATGCAAAATTTACTATTAACATGAAAAATTTTTTTCTTTTGAAGATAAAATTATAATAAATAATGCGGAATATAATATAATATAGTAAATATAAAATATATAATAAAAATAAATATAATGATCTATTATAAAATCGAAAGTAAATATATAATAAAAAATATTTTAAATATAATAAAATCAACTAATATTGTATATGATGAAAGGATAGTAAATTGTTTGCAAGCTTTTAACACGAGGCCATCAAAATTTTTTGCATCACGGGACATAATTTGCTTTAAGAGAACCTTTAGTGCAATCTTGAACGATCCCTACGTACTACATTTTTCTTGTACAAATGCAATCCATTAGCATTTTTAATTTGTACGAACAATTAATAAGAATATATAAAAGCATTTGTTACCTAATAAGTAGAATAGATAAAAACATTGTGCTTCTTTTTTGCTCCAAATTAGTTTGGAAATTTTTTTTGTTTGCGGGATAGCTATTGAACCAACAGAAATCATGTTATTGGGAAATTTGATATCTTTTTCGGTATTCGAGGACATTTTGACTTTTTCTGATTGAGTATTAATTGCTTTTATCATGTCACTAACGTGCATAATATTTTCTGAATATTTGACTGCTCTGTCACCTACCATTCGCGAAACTATCAAATTTCAATTTGCTAATTATAATAATGCAAAGATTATATGAATTTTCTCTTGAACTCGAATTTACTCAAGAGCTCGAAAAAATTCGAGTACTTGACATTATTTGAGCTTTTTACACAGCTCGGCTCGGCTCGAAAAATGAAAAGCTCAATCAAGCTTTTTGCACACCTCTACAATTTAAAATTTTGAAGATAGTCCGTTCTACAAGTGACACTCAAAGATTCAGCATTTTCTAATCGGTTCGTACCTTATTAACCACTATTATCATGCTTATTAAAGTAGTGGTAAAGAATATTTTTGATAGCTGTCGACATTAAAGAATTCTGCCCTTTCTTTTGAGATATTGCAAAACTAAAACTTCTTTGTATCGAGGTTATAAAATCTTTGCTCAGTTCTTTGTACTTTCTTTGTAATTTGAATAGCTTACTTGTAACACCTTTATTCACCTGGTTTTTGTCAATATGTTTAACAATTTCATTTTCTGCTGCACTGTGTACATGATCTACAGTTGACGGATCCTTGTCACCTACTATAACTCCTAACTGTAAATTATTTTCTTTTAAAATGGATTTTTTTAATCAGCTCAATTGCAGATTTTGGCTTCATGGCCTTTGTACTCCCTTGAAAATTAATGCCACAATCATGATTGTCTTTCGGATTACTAACGTCACTTTGGCATTAAATACACATAGATACATTTTAAGTCAACTTATTTTAGTGAAATAATATTAAAGTATAAACAAAAGTTTCAGTTAGTTCCTGGTGGTCTTTTGCACTTTTGTGACTATTTTATTTTTCTAACTCTAGCTTCGGCGAACTTCAGAAAACCGTTTTGAACGTGGAATTATCAAAATCCACGTTACAAAGGGCACATAAAATTTTTCAGTCTCCTCACCCCCCTCTTATGTAAGATTTCATGTGAATTTTTCTAAAAAGTACTAAACAGTTTAATGGCGTTAAATTTTTATTTATTGTAAAATATTACTTAAAAGCATTCGACGGTCAATGAAATTTCTAGGTTATGTGCGACATACACTTGTCGCCCTACAAGAACGGTACTGCCTGGTTTAAATGACGTGAAATTGGTAAACAGTCATTTTCGAACGAGTTTTTCTTTGCACACAAGCACTTTTTATTAAATCTACATTCAAACCATCGACACAAATCTTTTTAATTACCTAAATCCGAAAGACTTTTTTAATTCATGCAGAAACGCGTTAGCAAAATGGGAAACACAACAGTAATGTAATGACAGGCGGCAGGACGTGTGTCAATTTTTAAGTCTGGGTGGAAGCGCTTTCCTTGTTCCTTACTAAAATCAGCTATAATACGATGAAATTCATTAAAATGACTGTGCAGGTAGTGAACTTTAATGCTCATGTTACATTTTAATTCATTATAGAAGTAAAGCATGCTTGTAACTAAATCATCGTTTTTGATAAAGTCATTGCCATCCAGCAAGTTTTTAACCACTTGAAAAAATGATATCCATGACAAAAATGGAAAATGACAATCCAAAAAGCGAAAAGATTGTTAACATTTTATGTGCTATGGTAAAGTTAAGTAACCCAATCTTCAAAAGTTTCATTCGTAATTTTGCAAAAGAGATATGTCAATGATTTATAATCGTTAAAATATTGCATAAAAGATTAAAAATTACAAATTGGTTTTAAATAATATAATTGGTATTTCGTCAAAATAAATCAATTATCAAAGTTGTAAATAACAAATTATTTTTTTATTCTGCATTAAATTAATTATTGTGAAAAATCATTTTAGTATTTCATATTTGATTGATTAGTAAAACTGTTATAAAAAGCGGAGAAAGTATTACTGAAGTTATCCGTACATGTGTTTGTACAAGGCCGAATGAAGATTTCTCAAAACAAGAAGTTCATTTATTTTTTTTCTCTGTTAGCCTGGTATTGTGATAGAACATCCTTTTTTAAATTTTGAGCTGAAACATTCATATTTACTCAATAGATTTCGGGAATATATAGCAAGAGAATTGACTCGAGGTTCATTCCATAGGCACTTCTTGTCAGCCGATGATGCTTTATCTAAATCATTTACGTCTATTCTAAAAATAAATATATGATATATAATTTTTCCATATATTTTGCACAAATTAGGATAACAAATGAACAGATCATTTGTTAACTTAAATCGTTTGTAACATAAACATATTATAACTTATGAAAAATATTATTAGTAGCATAATTTTAAAACCATTTTCACTTACAACTTTCACTTTCAATGTGACCCAAAAAAAATTTTACTTTTACCCTGTACTTTTACCAGCAAAATTTTCACTTTAAATTTCATCCATATATTTTTTTTTAAATTTTATCTAAAAAAATCCCACTTTCAATTTTACAATAAAAATTTTCATTTTTACTTACACTACCGGCAAAAATTGTGCGACCACTAACACCTGGAGCTGTTAATAACACACCCACACAAAAACAGTAATAACTCCGTCAAAAATGAAGCTAGATGCTTTTATTAAATTGCATTGGAAAGCATATTAAATTTCCAATGAAATAACACTATTTTCATTTGTATTGCATAAATAGGAAGCGATATATCATGTTATAAACACAACAAAATAATTATATTTTTTTGGAAATTCTGACCCTGACTTTGACTCCTGGCATAATTTAAAAAATTGATGAAAATATTGTTACTTTCACAGACTATTCCTTGTAATCTAAGCTTTAAATAAAGACAAAGAACAGCAAAAAATATTAACGGGTTCCCGAGATTTAAAAAAAATAGTCTGATCGTGCGAAGCAGAATTTTCAATCATTGATTTCTTTAATTTGCCGTTAAGTCAGTTGCGTGGCCGTGAAAAACGTTTCGAAAATGAATTTTACCAAGTACATTCTTACTGGGATCCACTTTTTAAATATCATTATATAATAAATTAAATTAAAAAGTGATTCCCAGTAAGAATGTACTTGGTACAATTCATTCTCAACACTTTTTCACAGTCACGCAACTGACTTAACGGAGAATTAAAGAAATCAATGATTACAAATTTTGCTTCGCACGATCAGACTATTTTATTAATATCTCGGGAACCCGTTAATATTTTTTGCTGTTCTTGGTCTCTATTTAAAGCTTGGATTACAAGGAATAGTCTGTGAAAGTAACAATTGAATTTAATAAGCTATCCAATGTAATTTAAAAAAAGCATCTAGCTTCATTTTTGACGGAGTTATCACTGTTTTTGTGCAGGTGTTTTTTAATAGCTCGAGGTGTTAGCGGTCGCACAATTTCCGCCGATAGTGTACAACTATCACTTTCAATGTCACACAAAAAAATTAACTTTTACGTTGCACTTTCTCCAAAAAAATTTTCAATTTCATCCAAAAAAATTTTTACTTTCAATTTTACCGAAAAAAATTTTCACTTTTAATTGCACAAAATAATTTACACTTTTACTTGCAACTTTCACTTTCAATTTGACCTAAAAAAATATTTATATTTGATTTTACCCAAAAAAACTGATTAATTTTCTATGTTTTCTTAATTTAATTTCTAATTAAGTTCTAAGTTTTCCGCATAACAAAAACATTTTTTCACTTCCGGGAATTATACCAAAAAATTTCTGGGATACTCCCGAGAGTCACTCCCGGGAATATCTCAGGAGTGACTCCTGAGAATGTCTGGGTCTAATTCCCGAGAACTTTTTCACATGAGTATAGAGACTACAATCTTTCGGAGTAAGATGTACAAAGACCAAGAAGAATTATTTTCTCTTACTTTGTCAACATCGAGCAAAAAAAAGTCTAACAAAACAGAGCATTTCAGAAGCTGACATTTTTAATTTTTGCTTCGTTTGAATGTGTTAATTCTCTTTTATTAATTGTAATTTTATTATAACTTTCGAAAAAACTATACTGAAAGCACTTAATTCTTTTATTCAAAAAATCTGGAAAAAATAATTTTTGATCGTAAATTAAATATTTAAGAATGTTTACCATTGTGTAATTAGCACTTCCTTCCAGGATGTCGTACATAATATTTAAAATTATACAAAGGATAACATGTAAACCAGTTACTTTATTAAAAACACAATGTTCAACAATGCCAGTAACAGATGGGTCATTTAAATCGCAGTCTTAGTTATAAGATTTAATTGTTCGCAATATGCTGTCATCTTGTTTTGTTAAATTTTGAATTAAATTATAAGCACAAGTTTTAAACATTATATAAACATTTAGAGTTTAAAATGGACAAACAATTTTCTTAATTAGCAGGATTTTAAATTTTCTTTTCCCTTCAATGCATCTATTTCTGCAATGAGTACATTGACAGAAGTAAACGATTTCAAATTATTTAATTTAACTTTGTATAGGTCAGTCCACTGAATTTCGTCTGAGAGTCGTTGCGACCATATTTTAAAAAAATCTTATTTTCATATATAGCGGGTTCTACGTCAAGTGACCCAGGTCAAAAATTTACATGGAATATTTGAAAAATTTGTAGTTTCTTTAAAACAAAACAAAAATACGTTTTCTATTTTGGGTTTTGCTGCTGTTTTTCAACACTTTCTAATAGTGTGAACATATGTAGAGAGAAAAAATTGTTTGACCTTGAAAAATTAAATTAAAAAATAAAATTTAATTTTTTTATTAAATAGGCAGTTTTTATTTTAAAAAAAAAAAATTTTATCATAAAGGTGACGTTTTTTCCTAAAAAAATGTATAGGTCAAAACGTGGGACAAGAACTTTTAACTGGTCAAATTAAGCATTTACTTCTGCAGTGCACCGGCCCACAGTGGAATTTTTTTTTACAATTTACTATTAAAAAATGTCTATAGCTTACAATTTTTAACCGATTTAAGTGTTCTTTGTCTTAAATTAAAGAGGAATAAATTCTTAAGACATCCTTCGAGGCCGATTTTGGGAATTTTAATTATTTATAATTTTTTTAAAATCAAAGTTAACAAATTAATACACTTTTTTTAAAAAGGACGTTTATATTTTTATTCCGTTGCTGCACGTGATCTAATTCAATTTAAACTCATCCAATATGACCACCAGATAATTATTAAAGCATAAAATAATTTATTTCAATTGTTATAAACAATTTACAGCCCAACAACGCGCAGGGGCGGTGGATTGCAGAAGTAAATGTTTATTTTTACCAGTTAAAAGTTCTTGTCCCACGTTTTGACCTATACATTTTTTTAGGAAAAAACATCACCTTTATGATAAAAATTTTTTTAAAAAAATAATAACTGTCCATTTGATGAAAAAATGAAATTTTATTTGTTAATGTAATTTTTCAAGGTCAAACAATTTTTTTTCTCTACATTTGTTCACACTATTAGAAACTGTTGAAAAACAGCAGAAAAACCCAAAATAGAAAACGTATTTTCGTTTTGTTTTAAAGAAACTACAAATTTTTCAAATATTCCATGTTAGACCAAAAATTTAAACTTTGACCCCCTCCAGTTTTTATATTTGTTTAAATAAATTAATAATATTTGGTGTTTTTAATTGTATCTAATAGGACTACTGTTTGTGCAAA